GCTGGCTCTGTGCCACGGCCCAGCCACTTTGGGCGAAGCGAGCAACAACGGGCACCCCCATCCCCTCGCTCAGCCCTGCCCCCACTCTTGGGAAACGCCGAATCCACCGTCTCCCTCCTCCGCCGGGGTCACGCCGGGAGGCTCTTCCCCTCGGCGTCGGGGGCTGTACCTCGGTGGGTCCCAACCTTCTGGGGCTCAGGGCCCCGTGTGAAGGCTTCTGTCACGCCGGGAGGCTCTTCCCCTCGGCGTCGGGGGCTGTACCTCGGTGGGTCCCAACCTTCTGGGGCTCAGGGCCCCGTGTGAAGGCTTCTGGCCTGTCGCAGCCCCGGCGGGAGGTGGCCACCCTGGGGCAGAGTCGTAATGTGGCGTTTCTGTGCCCCCTACCAGCGATGGGACTTTGGGGGGTCACGAACTCCCCCAGAACTTTCGGTTGCACCCCAACCCGGACAGGCTGGGCGCCCCACTGAGGGAAGACAGGGACTGGAGATGGGGCTGCCCCCACCAAGCCCTGTGCCACCTGGTAGCGCTGGCCTGAGCCACCCTGTCGCTTTGCACCCTGGGCACTGCCCTGCTCTGGTTACAGCCTGGGCCTGGGGCGGGTCTGGTCAGAGCCTGCCTCCCGGGAGGGTGTTGGGCCCTGCCTGGCACTCACCCCACAGAGGCGGCGCCGTGGGGCTGGCTGGGCCGCTCAGGTTAGGCCCTGCCCGCTGGCTGGACCAGACGTGGGCGTGGAGGAGTGACCGGACTCATGGGTTACAGTGTCACTCGCTCCAATCCGGCCTCCCATCGCCATGGCAACCACATCCCGCCGGAGCACCAGGCCACCCTCTGGAACATTTGAGCCCCCCGGTTTTGGGTCTCCATACATGCCCCACGCATGCACTCGGCAGGGCAGCAAGGGGAACCCCGCAAACACTGGGGCTGGGTTGCAGCTGTGACAATCCAGTGCTGCTGCCAGCCCCGCGGTCGCTGTGTGTCCACGGCCTCCCGCCCCGGCCTGGTCGTTCAAAATCCCCTCAGACCCGGCCCCTCTAACCTGCTTCCAGCCACCAGCCACTGGCCTCCTCCCCGCTTCCCCGGCGGTGCGGGGGGACTTGTGTATCGAGGGATGTGGGTGAGTTCTCGGAAGGAGCAGGGAGCTTCGTGCGGGAGGTCGTTCCTTCTCTAGCGCCCGCCTCCCTCACTCCCGCTTGGCCGCTTCGTCCCTCCCCCAAAAGCACCTTCCCACCCAACCTTATAGGGCCCAGCTGGGGTTAGGGGGGCAGTGCATACTCAGGCCCTGGCAGGCGGCGGCGTGCAATGAAGGCATGTCCTTAGCCTTCGGGGTTCACAGGGCAGCCCCACAATATCAGCGCATTGTGGGGTAAGTGGCCGTGGTGGAAACAGCACCCCAAAAAGCGACTTGCGTAAAAGTACCGCTGCTTTGAAAAAAACGTAATGAAGGAAAAGTCAACGTCTCCTTCTGGAGAACGACTCGAGTAAAAGTATCGCATCTTAATTGTACTCAAGTATCCAGGAGTAAAAAGGAGACGTACTATGGAATTCTGTGATTAACCACCCGAATTATCAGAGGGCACCATTATTTGGGTCAGGCAGCCACCGATGTACTGAAAAATCACACAAGTGAGAGGCAACCCCTCCCCCACCAAAAAAACTCCCAAACCCTCAGTGATGTGGCCACCTCACTGCCCTGGCGCTCCAGCCCCACGTGGTGGGAGGGAGGGTAGAGGAGGCAAGGAGGACCACGCTTCAGGGCTTCTCATAGGCCAGAGTAACTCTTTTGGGGTCCCAGGGTTGGTAGATTTTGTGAGCCCCCCAGGCTCTGGGGTGAGGCCAAAATGCTGGGTTCAGTGTGCAGGAGGGGGCTGCCAGGGAGTGCGATAAAGATGGGGGTGAGGGTGGGGGTCTGGGTGGGGGGTACGGTGCTAGAG